GTCTCAAAAATAAATAAACGTTTAAAAATAAAAATAAAAATAAACATTTTTTAATACATAAAAGGTATTTTCTGGAAAATGAATGAAGCAAGCCTTTAGGGCTTTGAGAAGACAACACTGACTATTTATTGCCAAGGATAAAATTTGAGTTTTCAAGCAAAATTTAGACTTTTGGAAAACCAATATTAACCACTGTGAACTTGATAGCTCACAATAGAAAGGACATTTCTATTGAGAGCTGATTAACAGATGTGATTAAAAAAATTTTTTTTAATGTTTACTTATTTTTGAGAGAGAGAGAGAGGGAGAGAGAGAGAGAGCATGAGTGGGGGAGGGGCAGAGAGAGAGGGAGACACAGAATCTGAAACAGGCTCCAGGCTCTGAGCTGTCAGCACAGAGCCCGATGCGGGGCTCGAAGTCACAAACCTCGAGATCATGACCTGAACCAAAGTCGGATGCTTAACTGACTGAGCCACCCAGGCGCCCCTGACTTTTTTTTTTTTTTTTTTGATCCTGCGTGGTGAAATGTGCCAACATTTGGAAGATCTGGATAACCCAATGAACCAACATTTTCCAAATGACGAATGCGTGAGGCCCAGAAGCATGCATAGGTCAAAGATTCAAAGGGCAAGATCCACCAGGAGAGTGAGAAGCGGTTCTGAGAGGGAAAAGTTTGAGAACTGCCCTACCTGCCCAACCTCTGGCTAGTCACAGAAGCCGCACCAGGGAGGCCAGAGCTCATCTGCCCCGTGCTACTTGCATGAAAAAGATCCAATTCCCTGTTGTGCTGCCTCTTTGCTGTGGGATCTTCAGTATCTCCCTCACTTCTCTGGGCCCCTGTAGAAATGGAGATGATTGTTCTTCAGCAACTGGTGGTGGCAGAGAAGGAAGCTCATCGGTTCGAGAGATATTTGGCAATGCAATCAAAAGGTGCTGCTGATGTATTATGAAGAAGAGGGCGAAGTGCTGGGTTTCTTTAGAGTATTACAAGGAAAGACCCCCTCCAAAAATCTTACTTCCAAGGCCGCTCTCAGAGTGCAGACCTAGTACTTTGTGCGGGCCCTCGGTTCCTCATTAGAGGCGTCTCTAATCGTGAGGACTTATTTGAGTTGTGTAATTGCCGGCCCTGGAAAAAGGAGCTTTCCTTCTTCTCTCCCCACTGCGGAGAACTGCTGATCTGATAGCTTCGCCCAGCTCAACAGGAAGTGAACATTCTGTCCCGACCGCAGGGCCCAGAGCAATCTCTTCTGCCTGTCTGAGGTCAGCCACAGAGCTGACATGCCAGGCCGCTGGGGAAGGAGGCTCGGAGAGACTGTGTGCCCTCAGCACTGCTTTGATGGGGCATTGGGAGCAGCTGGCTGTCCCGCTGACCTCCCTAAAGGCTTTGCAAGGGGAGCCTCCTCTAGAGAATTCACACGAACCTGACTTCACGAGCATCCGGAGGTGAGGGCGAGAGATTCTCTCAAGAACAGTTCACTGTATTTTTTTTTAATTTTTTTTTAACATTTCTTTATTTTTGAGACAGAGAGAGACAGAGCATGAGCAGGGGAGGGTCAGAGAGA